TTTGCACCGGAGAGGACTTTGCAAACGGCCAAGGACATCCTGAACCAGAGCCTTGAAGCAGAGAAAACCTTTGCTGGGTTCAGCTCGGGTAAGAGGAAAACGTTGCCCTTCCTTGGCGCTGCCGGTGTGGCGAGCTGTTGCCCTCAAGAGCTGCATCCCGGTGCCACACGGGAGACCTTCGGGGTGCGGGACTGCTGTGGAGGCACAAATTGAACTGTGAGCAGGGGTCTGCCCCCGCCCCCCCATACTCTGTTAGTCGAGGCGTTGGACCGTTACAGAGAATAGTGACACCCTGCTGGAATCATCCCGATTTGCCATTTTGTTGGGCTGGGAGCTGCCTCGGTGCTTTGGTGATGTCTTTGGCGCTAACAAGGAAATACCCGAGGCTTTATGTGCTCTCATTTACTGCAAATACAGTCGTAAAAACTTAAAAGTGCAGCTCAATGCAAAATCTCACGCCAGCCCTTCGTTGTCTCTGGCCCACGCAGACCGTGTTACTCTGTCACCCTAGGAACCAGAGAGGAGCAAACCTCTACGGAGCAGCGTGTCCCCGATGTCCGGTGATGCCTTTTAATACTCACATGTGGTGGCTGTATTCTATTTTCAGTCTATAGCAATTCGGTACGGCCAAACTGTAGCGACACGCAGAGGTACCTGGGCAACCTAATTCAGAGCCGCGGGCGCTTGTTAAATTAGGCAGCAAATAAGATAATGCAAAAACCAGATGAAAATCTAAGACTAAATAAGCGTAAATAGCCCTTCCTCCACTTCTCTAATTACCCTTAAGTCTAAGGAGCTCATTTAGCTGTCTTGCAACATTTTACAGCTGAGGAAGAAAAGTTTGGAAAGAATAAGTGATTTACCCAGAAAGTCTGTGGCTGGAAAGGGAGACTGAACCCAAGGCACCAGGCTGCGGGCCCTGCCATGGCCCCCGTCAGCCGCTCCGTCCGCAGCCTCAGGAAAACGACTGCATTGTAAAAGCAATTGGATTAATAATCGTTTGGCTTTCGTTGTTTATATAATGGCTTTACAACGGACGGCGATGGTTAGGAAATGGACTTTAGCATATGGTTTAAAATAATAAAACTTGGCAGAGAGCTCTCGATGCTGCTGCCGCTCTTACATCGTAGCAGGGAGGTGGAAAGCCAACAGCTTTTAAGAGAACTGTCGAGGGTGCGTGTTTGCAAAGTGCAGGTTCTGGAGGCTCTTTGGTATTCATTTACGGCCACTTCGCATAAATTCCCTCTCCTCCTGCTTGTTCTCCTAAAGCATCTGAATTGGCTGCTGCTTGTCTGTTTGGGCATAGCGATGCGCTGCTGCAACAGGTACCGCCCAGGATTTATTGGCCTGATCCTTCAGCGTGTGACACACTTTCCCTTGGCCCTATTCCACCGGGCTGGCTTCACCCCGCTGCCTGCGTGACACGAGAGCGGCGCTGCTTAACGCCGGTGGAATTACACAAGTGTAAAGAGAGAGAGGGAGGTTATCCACAGTACGTTATCCGAGGCCCGAGCGCGTCCCTGGCAGCCGTTTGCTGTACACATAAAGGTGGTTAAAAAGAAGTATTAATCTAAGGCTCGTTTCTCCGTATCGAGGTGCAAAGAGGCACTGTGAATGCGAGGGCGAGGTGGAGGGCTGTAGGAAGGCAGCAACGCAGCTGCACGAGAAACTAAATACGCCGCGCTCGATGTGCCTGTGGGATTGCGTGCAGGAGCACAGGATTTACCCGAGGAGCCAGACTACGAACTTTGCTAAACGCAGTGAGACCGACAGCGGGGAAAAACACTTCCTTACCCTGGGTTTTAAAAGACGAAACATGGGTATGAAAAAACCTGTGAAAAGTCAAATGGCAAAATCCCTGCGCACCAGAAGCGACGATGACGTAGGGGTTAACATCCTGATTTCGGGGAGGCTGTAAAGAATACTTCAGACTTCAGGGACTTGTAAAGACAGCAGCATGATGCGAGAAAGCGTAGATCGTGGCTGACTGGAGGGCTTGGGAGCTAACGCGACGTCGTGTATGGCCATGGCTCCCTTTTGCTCCGTCTGTAGGCGGGATTGTTTCAGGGCAGAGTGGGAGCCGTCCCCGTAGCCCGGAGGGAACCATCCTTCCCTGCCTTGTCCTGCCGCGGGGGCGTGCGGGTGAAGCAGTCCCTTTGGGGACCCATCCTCCTTGGTGTTACCCAAGAGATCATTTTCCCATAGCTCCTTCCTGCAGCCACCCCCAGTACTGTTTGCAGTGCCTCCGCAGCACTTCATTAGGAACTGGCCAAGCTTAATTAGGAACTGGCCAAGCTACCAAATACGCGGGAGTCTTAGGCAAGTAGCTTCTGTTTGTAAAAGCCAGCGAGCACCTGCTACTGGTATAATGGTGATACTCAGAGCATGTTTGGATTAGCTGGTTCCAAATCCAGACGGAGGGACAGTGCAGTTTGTCTCCGGGATATTGCATTTATTTATGTCCGGTGGGATTAGGGGCTGCTGTACGTCCTGCCGGTCTGTCTGGTAACTGGCACCAAGGTGCCCAGGCACGAGAGCCGGGTGCTTCTCGTGGTCTCCATGACTGGCTCTTTGGGGGTCCGATGTTGCCTTGTCTGTCTTGGGTCAACCTCGTCACACAGTCACAGAAATGTAATTAATAGGACGGCTTCTATGAGGTTTGTTTAACGACTTTGACTTAAAGGTCGTTTACTTGTATGAAGCACAGATTTTTATTACGCAAACCCCAAGTAATTTCTAATGCACGTTACTGAAATGCTCAAAGAAAAGTGGTAACAGAAGAATATAAATAAAACCAAGACTGATGTTCCAAGGTCGCAGCGGCCCCGGGATGAATGCGGTGGCACGCAGAACTGGGGGGGCTGCAGGGGACAGTACCAGTCTGCCTTGTGCCGGTCCCGCAGGCCCAGGACGCCTGCTGGATGTTCAGCTGCTGTATTTGCAGTTATACCCTTTAATAAGGTCTGATGAAACCCGGGCTGGATGGCTGT